GAATGCTTTGGGCTGGAGGTATCCTCAGTATCTCAATTTCCTGGAAGTGCCTAAAAGATCTGGTTAAAGAGGAGCCACAGAAGTCAATCAGATGAGGTTCCAGAGACGGGGTGAGAGCAAAAAGGAAAAGGACAAAGGTTACACTGACAGGTGAGGTCTCACTAGAATCCCTGTGCAGTCAATGACTGGCTCTCCATCTTGACTGAGTGTGCAGTCATCAGGAGGGCCTGGTAAAACAAGGACGGCCGGGCCCCGCTCCAGGATCCTCTGATTCAGCAGGTCTCACATGAGGATGAGGATCCAAATCATCTCTGATGATGCTGATGCGGTCCCAGGGGAGTACACACTGAGAACTACAGCCTGTCTGTTGAGAAAATGGTATAAAATCTCCTTTCCTTCCCTGCTGCCCAGGATTGCTTGAGAATGAGGGGGATGCATATCTCTAGAGCCAGGGTTCCAGAAGAAGAAGGTGTACAATGGGGACAGTCCGCCACTGAAGAGTAGGACTCTCAAGGTGAAGAAGTAGGAGAGGAGGGGAGTGAAGAGAAAGCGAGAGAGCGAGAAGAAGATGAGGGAGAGAAAGGGGAGAGAAGGAAGGGAGGGAGAGAGCGGCTGGCTCTCTTTCCAACACCCCCTCCAAACCAATAATCTGTCTAGGTCACAGTAGCTCCACACTTGAATACAGTTTTACCACACAGCCACAAAGAAAAAGCTTTCAATAAAACTGACCCTTAAGTATTTGAGGCTTTGCCTTAAAGAGCACTATGCTGTTCCACAGAGAAAGGAGAGCTAAATTGCTTTCTGTCCTAGGGCTTCTCCCATCCAAGTCAAATGACGGTGTCCTCATCCATCACTTCTGCCAATAAAATAACCAGAGAGAAAAGCAAACCAGCACTAGTGAGAGTCAAGCAACAACTGCCTCCAGGCCTGCAGGGACTATGCAGTGAGGGTCCGCCTCAGTTCTTACTTAACCACGTATGTGCCCACATCCCCTACCTGTTGGGGGCGGGGATGGTCTATGCATCTGGGAAATAGAATAGACAGCACTTTAATTTCTGTGTTGAAAGCACTAATCCTTATTCTTTCTTTCCAGCTCAAAATGCCCCAGAACCACTCCCCCAGCTGCTGACTTTTGCTCTAGGTAAAATTTACTTACACAAAAGTAGAAGAACAGTCTGCTATAGGACTATTTCTGGTGTCATTAGTAATTTTATATTTTTGTTATTATGCTTCCACTTGGTTACAACCAAAGTTATTATAATGTGCAAGTTGCCACTATTTTGGAAAATTAATTGCAGTTTTCTGTTACAATATTATGCCTTCTTCCAATCAGAAAATGAAAGCTGAGAGGGCACACAGGCAGCTTAGTGTTTTGAGAATTCAGCAAAACTTCAGCTCAGCAATCTCCAAATGCCTAACTTAAAAAACCAAACAGAAATGAACCAAAAGCCTTCCCTGGCTCCAGAGCAAGGGAGTCAGACAGAAAATAAGATCCCAAGGCAGACGGCATCCCCAGCCTGGAGGAGGCTGGAAGGGACAGAGGGGAGGGAGAGAGAAAACACGTTCTCAGTCTTAGTTTCCCAGACTTGCCAATCATTCTAAAATCAGGAAGACTGCGCCTAGCCTCAGAAGCAGAGAAGGGAAGTATCAAAAGGACCCTGGATCCTAGAAACAAGGATAAAATTAAAATGGTTCAATAAGGAGGAAGAACAGAATCCAGCATATGGTTAAAGAAGGGAGAGCCCCAGAGGCCAGCGACAGCTGAGGAGAGATGAGAGGTGAAGCGCAGTCAGCCAACAAGCCAAGTAAGAGTCTGGTGGGAAATGGAGCCCAAACGCCACTGTGCCCACAAGATTAGCCAAGGATCAGAGCACCACGCATAAAACCCCAAGCAAACCTGAGACTGTGCCTCTTCCTTGCCGAGAAGGCTGAGGGCAGAGACCTCAAATGGAGAAAGCAGTCATTAAGAACAGCAGTTCTCAAACTCGAGTGCGTATGAGAATCACCTGTAAAGCGGGTTTTACAAATACAAACACCTGTGCCCCTCCCGCCCCATTCTTCGGTGGCTCTTCAGTCCTCAAGTGCTGTTTCTGACAAGGACCCCATGTATTCTGACGCAGGTTGTCCCAAGAGCGCAGTCTGAGAAGCACTAATCTAGAGGTCTGAAGAACCACTCACAACAAATGCACCGAGGCAAACCAGCAGTCAGCAATTCATTTTCAGAAGAGTTTTCGTATGGGAGTGGGTAAGAGATCATCTCTCGGGGAGAGATGTCACTTAGCCGGAATTAAAATAAGGTAAGTCAGTGCTCTGGAGGACATTCTCCTGGGACTGACTGTTGACCCAACAAGCTGACCTCTCTGAATATTACCATAGTGAATTCCAAGACGTAAGACTAAAATGAAGGGGAATTCTGGGCAGAGAAGCTTGAGGACAGGCTCATCACCCACTAAAGCATTCCTTCGGAAGACAGAGCTTGACATGACAGATGGAGACGCCCACCTATACTTACCTGTGCAAAGAGGGAGATGCTCTACTGTCCCATTAAACCCTCGCTCCCTGTTCTCAGACAAAAAGGCACTTCTTGCCTTAAACGGTGGTACAGCACAGCTATCCAAAAAAAGCTGGTGTCTCTTCCCTTCCACCAGTGACTGAATTCAGGGACATTTGCCGAATGCTTTGGTGCCTCTGGATGTAAGGGGCAACCAAGACCTGGAAAACCAGAAACCTTTCTGTAGTGCAGGGGTTTAAAGTAAGACTCGGTGGACACAGGGTAAGCAAAACCTTGCTCAGAAGCCTGGATCCTGTCTCCCGGGTGAGAGGAACACTTCCCAAATGGGAGCTTTCTAGTTACTTCAGCTCCCCAAGTGGCAGATGGTGCCCACTGAGAATCAAAAAAGCCTCACTAGGAGGCCTGAGAAATAGCTCTTGTCACGAGGCATGTAGCAGCTGGCTAGCTGCCCTGAGCCCCTTAGCAGGACAGCAATGGATTACCACATCTCCTCAGCAGACTCCTCCAACGGCACGCCCTGAGCTGCCAGCCCCATATGTGCCAATATCTTGGCTTCCGCCCTGCAGCTGTTTGCCCTCGGCCAGATGTTTCTAGCTACTTATGGGAAGGAGGAACCTTGTAGGATGGAGGACTGGCAGGCTGAACCCAGGAGTTGCGCAGGAGCCCTAGCTTCCGGAAGAGGCTCAAGATGTCCATTAGTGCTGCCGAAATCAGATCCTGTCTCTTAATGATTATAAACAATTATTCCACAATTAGGCAGGAAGGGTTTAGAAGAACAGCTGTTAGGACCAGGATTCTAGGTAGTGAAAGGCAGACACCAGGTACTTTTACCATCCAAATCTCCTGAGGAGAAGCAAAATAAGAATATGTAAACTAAACCTCAATGCCCATCCTCAAATATCTAGGTAAGAAAACAGGCCCGTGAACTCCCCATGACGTCCTCTCCCAAGCACCTAACACCAGATCCTTCCAAAGTCATCTGGGATTCAAGAAGTGGGACTTTCCTGTCAGTATGATGTCAAGAGCACAGACTGCCTGTTTCTATCCTTTCAGGGGCTTGGTGGAACATGCTGTCACCTACCAATGGCTGCTTGTTATCACCTACAAATGCTAAGGAGGACACTTTTCTTGAGATTCTCTTCCAATCGCTCAGCTTTTCCTAAATGCCAGCTTACTTCCTAGGTACTTGGACTTCATAAACATGGCACAGACGTGGTCTTCACTCTCGAGCTCACAGTCCAAGAGAGGACAAGGATACGGAAACAAGTCAGTGCAGTCTGGTATGACGTGTGTTAACATGAGCTCAGGGAACCAGGTAGGGTGGTGGCACAAGGAGGAAGTGACCTAGAAAGGTCCCGCAGAAGGAAAAGAGCTGCTGAAGTCAGGTCTGAGACAGAGAGGAGGGCAGGCCAGGCACCAGTGAGAAAGGCCTTCTGAAATTCAGGGTGCTTGGAAAGTGACTCAGCAGAGTCAGGGAGAGGGTCCCTGTAGGAGATGGGAGGAAAAGGCTGGCGACCACCACACTAGGCTGCCCACTTTCTGTCACTTTTTATGTAACAGATCCTCTTTTTCGTTAAAAGAATGCTTCCATTGCAAGCATCAAGCATCTATACGCATCGCACTAAATGAAGGGCTCTGGGGGATACACCCCTAAGGAGCTTACACTGCACCTAATTGGGCAGATTAAACATACACATCACTCAGCGAAAGAAAACACAAAACAACACATAAACAAGTGCATAAAACTATAAATGGCACAACACAAAGTGCTAAGGGAATTCACAAGTTCTTAGCTTGAGACAGAGCTTAAATACCATCTAATTAGAGAACCATTCAAATGCTCAATTCCCCTTGGCAAAAGCAAATGAGCCCCTATGGGAACTCAGAAACCAGTATGGTTGAGTCCGGAAGGCCACTAACCCCACCATACCCAGAAGGCTATTATGGCAATACAAGAGAGGTCCACCTGAGACAAGAGAGCGTCCCAATAGGACCTTCCTCTGCTAATGAAATGGATGAAACAGTTAAGAGCTCAGCAGCTACCCAAAGGCCTCATCTTCCAACACGATTATAACTCACAGAAAAGAACATTTCATGGTATACCATATATCACTTTTTACAGCTTGCTTCCTGAAAAAAATTTTTTTTTAATAAGCGTAAGTATTTCTTTGGGTCCTTCATGTGTCTCCAGACTAAAGGTCTCACACTGCGGTAAGAAGGTATTCAATTTGGGCTTCATCCAGAGATACTCTCAGGCCTCTGGGGACCTCAGCTCAGATCTAGGGTGTGAGGAAGCTCCTGCCTTCTAACTGTCCAAAGCTTCTAAAAGTGAAGCCTGCTGGTCACAGATGGGCTGGACTGCACTCTTTCGTACTCCTTACAAACATGCTACCTCTAGCCCGGACTGGAAAGTCACACCACTGTCCTTTACTACCCTGCCGAGTCTGGAGAGCTGCCCTACAGTGGAGGCCTGAGCCACGGCACTCACCCTCATGGAGGTCTCACCGCCATGGGCTTGTTGCAGCCTGAAGACCTGGGCCACCATGTGCTCTGTGGAGGGATGCAGCAAGATCCTCCTCGAGGCCAAGCCCACCATTACGTATCGGCCCATTGGGGACAGGCTCACCGAAATGGCATTGGGACCTGAGAGCCAACAGAACAGAGAGACATTTTCCAGAGTTCTTGCCATCACAAGGAAATAATGTTCCTCTCAGTTTTGTTTTTTTTTTCTTTACTTCCAATTTGTATCTTTGGTTACCCAGGGGCTCTCTCACAGGAGTGCAGAAGACAATGCCAAGGCATGTCAATTACTGAGTATAATGTATGACAGAAGATACTTGACAAATGCTAACCATTGCCATCATAGCACCATATCTTAAGAAATTGGCACCATACTATAAATACCACTTTGAAATCTACTATTTCCACTTCATACACAATGACCATTTTTCCACCATTAAATATTCTTCTATAAAAGCATTTTAAAGGCCAAACGGTATCCTGCCCTGTCAGTGCACCACCATTTATTTAGGCCATTCTTGGCTCTTTGACATTTTTCTCTGTGATATGTAACACTGCTGTGAACATCCCTGTATATAAATCTTGCTATCGTTTTCTGATTATTTCCTTCGAAGTGGGATTGCTGGATCAAAGAGAACATAAATTTTAGGGACTTTTAATACACAATACCAAACTGCCTCGCAGTGTATGAGTGTGCCCGCTTCCCCAAGCCGTGACCAAGGCTCCTCCTTTATCCGTGGCCGGCCCAACAGGAGCACGTTGGTGACACTATCACGGCAGGAAGGACTCTTACTTTGAGAGTCGTCTGTAATACTACCAGCCAGGACTCCTGCAAAGCAATCTTCCTCTGGCCTGTGCCCCAGGAAAGCAGGGGTCGGATAGGACCATCACTCCTACCTAAGCTGTGCCTCACCTAGGAATGCCCATGCCAAGGCACCAGCGTCCCTCTGTCACTAGGTTAGGCTTCCTATCCCTTACCAAATCGCTTAGTGTAGAGCATTTCACCCAGGTTATGGGGGGCCAAGGAGTACACTGCCAGGATGCCTTCATCAGGAAAGCCCCTCTGGCTGCTAGGGATGAAAGCCGCCAGGAGCTGGCCGTCTGCAGAAATGTCACAGCTCGCATCATTGTAGATCTTGCAGCTCTGCACCAGCACATTCACGGAAGCTGCGTCAGACAAAGAAAGAAAAGAGGGTAAGAAAGTTTGGAGTTGATGGTGTGAAAAATTCTGGGCCAAGAGATCCTGGGGCTTCTCTAAGGGCCTGAACCCTCTCTAAAAATGCTAAAGGCCGCCTTGTCAATCCAACTAAAACGTCATAGAACAAGGAACACAAGAGACAGGAAAGAGACACGTCTTTTACCACCTTAAGAGGAAACAACAGACATTCAACACAATCACAACGACTTGCTGAGTCTTAGCTCACACTCAGGAAACTTCATGTGAGAGAGATTAGATAAGGAAAAAGTTATTAAAAATTGTTCCTGGAGAGCCACTCAACAGCTGCTATTGTCCAAAAGATCAAAACTTAAGATGATTGAAAACGCAAAACCACTGTTTCCAAGAGAAACGTGATTCAGGTAAAGCTTCCTTGGAGTGAGAGTCCTGCCACACAGCTGCTGTGCAACCTTGGAGAAGGAAGTCATTTCATGAGTTTGTGTCTGATTTTCTCATTTCAGAGAAATGGAACAGTTAGAGACTTCAGTCTTCTGGACAGCTCCTTGCTAATACGAATCCCTAATGCCACAAGAGAGGCCAGAGAGAAACACAGCTCAGCAGCGGCTGGATGGCTGGAACTCTTCATTTCTCACTATGCTCTCCAGGCCTTACCCGTACGATATGCAAGCATCCAGGGGCAGCCCCAGTCTGTACTTGGCGGCTACCAAGAATTAAGCCCAGGATCCTGGGGCGCCTGGGTGGCTCAGTTGTTAAGGGTCTGCCTTTGGCTCAGGTCATGACCCCAGGGTCCTGGGATTGAGCCCCGCATTGGGCTCCCTGCTAGGCGGGAAGCCTGCTTCTGCCTCTCCCCCTCTCCCTGCTTGTGTTCCCTCTCTCACTGTCAAATAAATTAAAATCTTAAAAAAAAGAAAAAAAAAAAAAAAAGAACTAAGCCCAGGATCCGCCAGGCAGCAGGCTCTTGGCTCAACGGAGCAGGACTGGGGTGGGGGAAGAATGTGTTGGTGGGGATGGGGAGATCCTGTTCCACAGGACAGAACTAATGAGATGCTGGCCAGCACTGGTTCTGTGCCTGCATGCTTTGTTTTGGTTTTCATTCGAATCTCCGAAGCCCACTGTGTAATTCTCTGCCAGGAGGACGTGGCTTACCCTTGATATGAGCCCGGGAACAGAGAGCCCAAACCACTGGCACAAGCAGAACAGCATAACACATCCAAAGGGACCAAGCTCCTCTGGGCTTTGTCTCACTTAGATCTACTTCAAATGCACATGCAAACTTTTTGGTCCTTCTCTTATTTGGAGATTATTACCTGGATGTCCACTGTCAAACACATTATGGCTAAAAAAAAAAAAAAGGAGCGAGGAGGGAGGGGGAGGGAGGGAGGGAGGAAGGAAGGAAAGAAAAGAAAAGAAAAGAAAGGAAAGGAAAGGAAAGGAAAGGAAAGGAAAAGAAAAGAAAAGAAAAGAAAAGAAAAGAAAAGAAAAGAAAAGAAAAGAAAAGAAAAGAGAAAAGAAAAGAAAAGAAGAAGCCAAGCTCAGCTGCTCTTACCAGATTCCAGGTGATCTATTCCAGGAAGCCCAAAGGCTTGCCCTGGAAGATCAAGGGCAAGTTTCCCCAGGAAATTACTTGAAGGACAACAAAACAAAGAATTGCTTTTCAGAGGCCCTGAGGCTTAGGCGTTCAGGGACTCAAGAGAGATTTCTAATGCTCTATATTCATCCTCCTTTCCCTGTGTTGCTAATGAAGCCACAGAGATGACAAAATAGATCAAAAAAGACATCAGAACACATTGATTAGGCTATTGTGCCAACTCTTGGGGGCTGACACCTACAGCACCATTACACACAAAACCCGAGAAGGGACCACAAGGATGTCTCTGTTTGCTAACTAATAAAATAATGACATCCAAATATTCACTGCTATCACCATTAGGGCTCTGTACTGCTCAACTTCCAACCCACCATCTGCTCTACCCTGTGTGGCTAGATTTATCTAGTTAGCACTGAGACCGTCTGCTCCTTACTCAGGGTCCCAAGCCTGTGCCAAAAAGATGACAGTCTCTTCCTCCTTCCCTGGATTGACACATGATTCCAGTTGGGGATATATAAAAAAAGATGTGGGGGAAGGAACGGGGAAGCATCAGGAATGAGTCCATCTTGACTTTCTAACCTTGAGGCTGGCACAACCTTCAGAAAGATAAAAAGAAACTGACAATTGAGACTATAACCACCAAACTTTAAGACAGTTTTGCACAATTACCATTTATTCCACATTTAATGTCTCAGAAAATGCATGGTGGGTATTTTATGAAAGTATGCTTTTCTCTCTCACTGTTCTATAGTTCTCACTCACGTGTGTTAACATGCAACTCTGTCAAACGTACAGAAGCCTATGGTAACCCTCAAAACTCACCACCAATATAAAAAAGGCATTTAACTGCTTACTGTCAGATTAATTCCTAAGTGGGGCCGGGGTGGGAAGGAGAGTACAAGTAAGGTTTTCCTTTTTCTGGAACGCTTGGCTCTAAGCCCCTGAAAAACTGGGCATATAGACAAAAAAGCATTTTGTCAGCCTCTAATCCAAGCCACTGTGTTTGTGTTTACTACATTATGATGATTCCAAATCAGTGGTCACCTCCCAAATTTCATCCCCTTCCCACCAACCCCATCCAGTTTCAAAAGCGCTCCTGGTCACTGCAGTGAGCAGACAGACAGACATGCAGATGACAAATGCAGAGAGAATGCTGAAAATTCAAGCAGAGCTTCTCCAGCAGCAGGCTTAATTGCAGAAACCGTGAAGCTAGTGATCTAGGGTTTCACTCCTGCCCTAATGAAGGGGATGTGGCAGGCACATAGTGATCTGGTAGCTTCCTTTCTGGAGCACTGGGTGGTGTGTTTACAATTTCATTTTTACGTCAAAGTTCCAATTAGCAGCTTACATTTGCCGCTCATTGTCTATTAATTTCCCACGTGGAAATGGAAATGTTCAGTAACAATGGTGAGTGGTCACTGCTCCAATCCACTGTGCTACTTCTCCTCATAAGGCTGAATTTTGATGAGTTAATTTACACAGGACGAGATTTCTTAGACCTGTTACCTGTTACTAGGAAAGTAATGCACTGATGACAAGGACAACTCACTCTTTTTGGACTCAACAACTGAGTCTTTTGGACTCAACGTTAAGCGGGTAGAGAAAAAGGTGAAGTGAAATATAGCCCAAGACACTGGCAGCCCACACACAACCAGAAATCTGCCTGGCCTTATAACACTGGTTCTCAAGTGTTAGCGTGCACCAGAATCACCTGAAGGGCTTACTAAAACACAAAATGTTGGGTGGGAGGTTGGGTGAGCCTGGTGGTGGGTATTGTGGAGGGCACCAATTGCATGGAGCACTGGGTGTGGTGCATAAACAATGAATTCTGGAACAATGAAATTTAAAAAAGAAAAATTAAAAAACAAACCAGAATGTTGGGGTGAGGCCTGAGAACTTCCATTTCTAACGAGTTCCCAGGTGTCTCCCGTGCTGCTGGTCTGGGACCACCACACTTGACAAGTGCTGCCTTATCAAACAGTCCTTGATCCCTGAGCTGCAGTTGTAGCAACCTGCCCTGCACTTAAAGGCAAAAACACATGTGGGGAAGGGTGATGGGGCAGCTCAGAATGGAAAAAAAGGTTAGGAAAGAAAGGATTTTTCAAATCAAAGCTGCTTAAGAGCTTCAGGGGGCAGCTCCAGGGGGAGAAAAAGTGATGTGGAAGACAGCAGGAAGCCATGTTCCAGACTCTGCAATGTAATCTCCTCCTAATTATAAATGATTTCCAAGTGAAAAATGCCCTAGCAGGGAATGGGAGGGGTCAGAAATAGTGATGCCTGGAGGAGCAGATGGCTCTGCCTTCCTATCAGCTCCATGAATTATAAACAAACACCTTGCAGGAAGACTGATCTGTAGCCTGTTGCCGGCCGGCCAGATGAGGCCGAGCAAGCGATCAGCAGCTACAGCACTTTTGCAAATGCATTAGATACTGATTTGGAAAACATGAAGGGATTTGAATCAGCAGGAAAACTTCCTTTCGACTACCTCTGAGGCCCTCAAGGTGCAGAATAAGACCTCCTACACAGTACTCCAGATGACAGAAGCAGCCCTTCCCAAAGGACGGATGACTGCATCTGTGGTATGTTATCTGTCTTCCACCACTCAGCTGCCGGATATCTGAAGGCTGGAGCTGGCAGGGCACCCAATTGACCAAAGCTCTTTACCAATAAGAGTTCACTCTTAAAAACCAGAGTGAACCCAATGAACTACTTTTTCGTGAAGTGGTCTTGAGATTATCTACTCTATGAGGTCTTTTCATAAACTTCTAAACTTTACAGAGAGTAATTCATTAATGCTGCATCCCAACTAAGAGAAACATGTGGCAAAAATCTTTAACCTAACTCCAGAGAAAAGTTAAATACCATTCAGGTAAGTCAGATGACCAGCAACATAACGGCTGTTGAACACATGAGTAAAACTCAAGACCAGTGGCTCTCAGGCACGAGCTGTGCCAAAGCCTAAGGCTACCCTTCACTGAGAGATGCGTGGTGTTCAGAAACGAATCCTACAGCAGAGGAGATCCCCTACTTACTCTCCTCCCAGCTGCATCTGTCAAGAATGATGCTGCCAACTGTAACTAGACTTTATTCAGACCAACCAGCAAACAAGTTAAGAGCTAATGACAGGAAACTCAGATAAAATGACTGGCATTCTAGAGGGTAATACCACTGAAAGGAACATTGGCTATCATTGGACATATATGCCCTAAACTGGGCATATATGGAATATGAACCATGCATGATCCAAACTAGTCCATCTGGTTGCACATGACGCTCTCTGATCAACCCCGGTTTTACAAGAGTCAGGATCAAAAGATGTAAGAAGGAACACAGAAGGAGGATTATAGGAAGCTGTAGCTGGAACAAGTTAAGGCCTATACAAAACATGTTAAGGACAACCAG